ATTGTGACTCTGTTGTTCTGGGCTGCTGCTAGTGTCGTCCAGGTTTATAACAGCCGAAGGCCGAGGTGACGGTTGGTTGACATTCTGGCGGGGAATTTGAATTTCACCAGATCCTGACAAAATCGACTCCTTGAGTCTTTTCACCAGCTCAGTTTTCCTGCCAGATTTAGAAAGCTTTCTTTTTTCAAGTTCGTCCCTTAGATCTTTCACCTTCAGGGAGTTGATGGACCGTCCATTTAATGCATTCTTGATAGCAGCCATTTCGCTCATTTCAAAGGACGAGGAAAGCGAACCGTATTCGGGTACAGAAGTAGACATATTCTCGTTATTAATCTGATCAGCGACTACCAGAGTTGAGTCAGTGTGTACTTTACTCAAATCAGGCAAGGAACTGGTCCTAACAAGCCGCGGCCTGGAGATAAAGCGATCAGCCTTCGGAGCTAGGAAAACGTGTCCATCCGCCATATTATGCAAATCTTCACCATACAAACTTCAACATACAAACTTCCGTTTTATTTTTTCCTTTTCGGAGCCAAAATGACCGAAACGAAGCAAAATTGACTCGTACTCGAGGATTTCACTGGATAGATGGTACTTCAAATGACTTGATACGTCGTCCTGGCATTCCAGGAGAGATATCGGGACTGAAGCTCCGCTTTGATACCCGCATCCACTACAATCTTTGCTTTCCATGAATCAAGTAGACATTTTTATGCGATAAATTTCTCAAAACATATCAATAACTGAAGATCCTCTCCTCTCCGCTAAACAAACACACGGGTAAAAGACTTATCCAAAGCGAGAGGGCTGAATCGAGGTATGCTAGAACCTTCAGGGGAGGGGGGCAGGGAGGTAGACCAATGTAAGCTCAATTACCGTCCTCAATTCTTTTATTTCGGTCCATCTATAACTTTTGGTTCTAATTCGTTACATGAATTACTTTTAAGTTTCAATTTACATATCCGCGAAACAAGTCATGGTACAAATGGACAAGTTAGCATAGTCACGTCATGCAACATATCAGGCCGGGTTTGCCTCCTAAGGAATGATTAAGCTTGTCCCTCAAGAGCTTTGTGGACTGTAACAACGTAAAATCTCTAATTACGGCAGCAAAGGTTCAGAAAAGAGGGCCTTTTGATTGCATTCCGTGTGCTAAACCTCGGTAGAAACAGCAAGAATTCTTGCAGGTTGTTTTGTAGATAACACCGTAACATACATGTCTTAACTTGTTCTTGTTTGTGTGTCCTTTTAAGCGACACCTTATGTCTGAAATGACCAGAATTCCAAATTGTATTATTAAATTTTGATCTTCTCCACTCTGTACGTGGCTATTGACCTGATTCAAGGAAAATTATCGAGGAAGCGCCTTCCGATCGCCCCTTTGCTTACTTTTTCTCGCTGACTGATCACGTTTATGCAACGTTTTAGGACGACTCGCAATTTATTTCCATCGAATTGTTATGAAAACCTAAGATAATTAGCGTAGACGACAAACAAACAAACAGAGTTTAAACGGTCAAAGACGTATCCGACATTTATAGAATTATGCAAATGAGCTTTGACACTTGCGCGATTAAGTAAAGACACTGATTTGCGTTGTTTTCAAGATGATGTTGGATGAAAGCTAGAGAGATACCCGCAGGTTGGAAACAATTGATGACCTCCTTGGTGTATAAACTATCCTCCGATATGTATATTTAGTCCTATTTAAGCTTAAATCTTGAGAATTCTTTGTTTTAAATTGGTTCATTTTTGCTATGCAAATTAATGTCGAAGGGAAGGGTCTCTTCGGATCACGTTGGTATGAAAATGATCTCAAGGGAGGTTTCCATATTTTGTCTGTGAACTGACAGAATATAGCTAGTAACTTGAAGCAAGAGAGAATTCCGTGAGCTACACTACCGCAGTCGCAGCGCGCTCGATCAAAGCCGTGAAATTTACACTTTTGATTCTTGTTTACACGGGTCGTCTTGCCAAAAGTTAATTTTCGCTTGTGGCGAGGCAAAATAAAGAGAATTGGAAAACAACCAAACTAGTTTTGATACACGTGTCCTAAACCCCTTTACATAGGGAAAAAATTAAGGAAAACTTTTTTCGGCCGGGCAGTCGAGAGGACCCGCTTCTAGCGGGAGTTGCAATTCAGGTGGCTGAACACAGTTTTCGCGCGCGCCTTTGCTAGTGCAATTCAGCGCGCGCACAAGGATTGTAAAAAACAAACGTGCCGTCAATATAGAGCGGCCATTTTATTTACACAACACGTAGCCGCACTATCTGTGCTATTTTTCTCTATAGCTGGCGCAGTGTATTGAGGGCTTTAATCTTTTCTTACAAATAGATGTTAGAATAAGTTTACGGTGCAAAGAACCCAGCAATTCTCAGCTTTTTCGTCGTTACTGAAAAAAACCCAGTTAAATGCACCGCATGCGTAGTAAGTAAAATAATTGCGATTGAATGAAAAATTGCTTTCTCGGAAATATGCCTATTTCTTGAGAACCACTCATTAGAATCTCACGAAATTTGGCACGGAAATACTTAAGGAAATAAGTAGCTGGAGTATTGAAAAAGATTGATTTTAAACAAAGAAAATTCTAGAAAACCGAGTGAACCTTCAACAAGGGACAATGGAAGATCTCTCTGTTAAATTTTTATCAAAATGGTGTTAACATGTGAGTATCGTTACAAGCTCGTTGCAGGCAAGTTATAAAGAAAATGTAATGACTAGATTTTCCACAAAGAAACAAAACCGATTTTAATTCCCTCTTTATATCTATTTATGTCGCCATGACAACGATACCTACGTCAGCTTAACTTTCAAAAATCCAAAGTTTGTGTTGTTAACTTG